GGGGGGGGATGCTAAGATGTCGTATACCTCTCTTATCAGCGTGGTATCCAAATTCCTTACCACCGCTGAAACCTTTACGGCATCCGATTTAATGTTGTACGCTGCGAATTCAGCGAGATTCAAGCACATCTGTAGCGATTTTTGGCAATTCAAACAATACATTGTTGTTTTTTTGTGTTCGAATTCAATTCAATTCAGTTCAATTTTTCTTCTTCGTCTAAAGCCAGTTCTTCTAGTAATTCTTCAATATCTTCACTTGCATATGATTCATCAGTATCCAAGCTTGAACTCGACGAAATTCTATTTCTAAATTTTCTTCTAAAACTCACAACGTTTTCATCACTACTCTCACTTTCAATTGTACTTTAACGACGTCCAATAAACATTTTTGGGATAAAAAATTACTGAGGTGCGTTTCAGAAAAAGTATGCTTCTAAACTGAATAATCTATACATGAAAGATGTATGCTTTCCAGGGAAAGCGATAAACGTTTCCAAATCAAAAATAAGCTATTTACCAATAAGATTATTTCGGAACAAAACAATGTATCAATTACATAGGTCGATAGCACTGTAAATGTAGATAATCGACAATGCATGGATCTACTCGAGTTATATTGTTGGTTTTCCCGCATATCTCTCCGCTATCGTTCTAGTGCGCCAAGAAAAATCTTGGGCCCGGAGGAAACAAAACGTAATAACGCTTGGTACGCAACGTGTTAAATAAAAATAATAAAATAAAATTCAGTCTAATATTACTTTTACTATAGAGAAACCTACATGCGTCAATAAAAAAAAAATCTCCACTTGCAGATAATTTCACTCGTGAAAATGACATTTTCCAATCACAAAAAATGTTATTTATATACTTTATAAACAAACGCTTTCTTACTTTATTTCACATGTTTTTATATCCAAATTTGTTACACCCCTTTGGAGAGGGAAGGAACTAAATGAACTTATTAGTCAATACTCGCGACAACTTAACTGTATACTTAACTGCGCTCGTTCATTAAGGGGTAAGAAATAGAACCTTAACCCTAGTGACGAAAAATTGAACTAATGCTAGTTTAAACCAATAGAATTTTTCGATGTTTGTGCGTGTCTCTCTTTCTCTCTCTCTGCGCGCGCGCCCCGAACTTAGGCTCAGGTAGGGATCCTATAGGAGGGATGCGCCATGTACATTGCTGGGGGACCGGAACTTGATTTCGCGCGCGAATGATTCAAACATTGAAATAATTATGAAATTGCATCAAATACAGAAAAAAATGAACTATATTTAATGATAATTAAAAATTTATATTCAAATAGAATAGGTTACACGAAAAAATTATTATAAATTCAATAAGAAAGATTTAATTAAGTTTGATTTGATAAAAGGCATTACAGTATTTTGAAATTTCAAAACAATTTGTAGGAATTTATACAATTTTGATAAATATAANTCTGTGTATTTGTCTGTCTATCAACTTCGGCCGCTCATCTCGATGTCGTTTCAGACTACTCAGCCGAGGGCTTCATTGCAACTTACAGACGCTTCACCTCAAGGTGGGGTGTCCCGTCAGACCTCTACGCTGATTGTGGCACCAACTTCTTGGGCGCTGAAGTTAAGCTCATGCAATGTTTCTCAGAAAGCTCTTCAGGACATCGGCAGTTCTCTTCTGTGCTAGCTCAGGACAAAACACAGTGGCATTTCAACCCGCCTGCAGCTCCCCACATGGGTGGGAAATGGGAAGCAGTAGTCAAGTCTCTGAAGTTTCATCTCAGAAGATCTGTCGGAGACACACTGCTCACGTATGAGGAGACTTCCACACTCCTCGCTCAAATTGAAGCCATTCTCAATTCCAGACCACTCGAACCGTTAAGCGATGATCCAGAAGACACCTCAGTGCTCACACCAGGGCACTTTCTCATCGGAACGGCACTCAACGCTGTTCCTGAAGGCTCACTATTAGACATCTCAGCAAGTCGGCTCTCCAGATGGGAGTTCATCCAGCAACGAGTTCAACATTTCTGGCGTATGTGGTCAACTCAGTATTTACAACAATTACAAGCCATCTCGAAGTGGCATCACGCTCACAACCAGATTAAGGTAGGTTCACTCGTTCTCCTTACTGATGAGCGTTTGCCTCCAGGAAAATGGCCCATGGCTAGGGTGCTCAAATTGCTGCCAGGGGAGGATGGACTCACCAGGGTGGTATCGCTGAAGACGGCTACCACAACACTCACCAGGCCGATCACCAAGCTTGCAGTCCTCCCAGTAGCCCCTCAGAAGACAGCATGAGTCATCATCAACTTCGTTGCTGATGGCGGGCGGAAATGTTTGGGATTTAATCTGCCCAATGAGAACTCGCGACAGTTGTCGCTCAATGCAGACTCGCCATAACTCATCTCGGCGGTTGAAGAAGCACCGTGACGCCGGCTTCTCAGTCAGTCATCTCTTTGTCATCGCATATACAACACGTGTCTTCTCATATTGTTCTCTACAACTTGTTCCAACCGCACGTGTCTTCTCAACTTTGCATACGTCTTCTCAAAAAGTACAAGTTCGGTGGGATTAATATAATCTTCATCGTCCGGATCTTAACTGATTAATATAATCAGGCCGTCTCTAGTCTACTCATTGTGATATTCTCTGTGTAAAGCTCGGAACGTGGTTCGCTCAACGGCTTCTCATTTTGAATCTCAACCGACACGCGGTGTACACGTACGAATTTTAATAANTAATTTAATTATTCATAATCAAATCTGTAAGATATTTATGTATTTCAAAGGTTAATGTCTTTGTGAAAATGTCAGCAATCTGTTTATTTGAAGGAACCCAGTTTAACYTAACCAAATTTAAATTAACGCATTCCCTAACATAGTGTTCTTTCCTTTCGATCATGTGCCTTAATTTATTATTACCATCAGATTTTGCACATGCTATTGCTGACTTACTATCACTGAACACACTTATTGGATACCATTTTCCTTTTATTATCAACTCAATTGACCGACTGATTGATAGCAAGGCTTGGCATGTTTCACTCAATGCGACGTATTCAGCTTGACAAGTAGAGAGAGCAACCCTTGGCTGCTTATGTGTTCGCCAAGCAATAGTATCACCAAATAGCTGTATTACATACCCTCACGTAGTTAGTGAGCCTTTGCAATCAGAGAAACTTGCATCAGCATAAGCTTGCAACTCTTGTGTTTTGCGTCTGAACGTCAAGGTCATACTTTTCGTACCCAGTAAGTAACGCAATGCTCTCTGCAGCATATTCCATTCGTTCTTAGTTGGATTTAAGGGGACGTTCTACTCGAAGCACCCAAAAAAAAAGGCTATTTTCGCGAATTTTTTCCAAGAAAACTATAAAAGATACCGATATAAAAGTTGTTGGGTTTGTTAAATTGAGTCTTAAACAATATAAATGAATTTTTGTTTTTTTATTTTAATTAATTTTTTATTGCAAAAACAGTAGTTTAAAAAAACACCTCAAAACTTTGGTGCTTTGGTAGCTCCATCAGAACTTGAGAATGGCTTACCTGAAACATAAAAGTAAAATGGTTTTATATTCTGTATGACTTCAGCTACAAAGTGACGCTAATATATGAAATTTTATCAATAAATAAAAAAATGGTGGACAAATTACAAAAAAACGTTAAAATGACCTTTTTTTCGTTGTTTTTGACTAAAAATAAATAGTAAAAATTAAAATTAAGGTTTACTGGTTCGTGAGATACGATGAAGCTAGTATTTCAAAACGTAGTTTCGAGAAAAACGCGTTTAAAGTGTTTTTTACTCAAAATCGTGATAAATTCTTACCTAAACTTAATCTGCGATGCCTGGACCGTACAATAGACCTTCTTCTTGTTCATATTCTTYAATTTCTTCCAGTCTTGCCTTCTTCCACTTTGATCTRGCATTTTTTGAGCACTCAGAGCTTCGACGGTTCGCAGATTCGATACGTCGGTCGTCGCGTCTTTTAGCAAAGTCGATCGCTCCTGGCCCAAGTTTCATGCCCATCGTTTCCTTTATCTTCATCACTGTTCGGAATTCTTCGTTGAAGATACATGCCGAAATTTTGCACGCAATTTCAACAACTTTTTTGCCGTTAAACATGTGTTTAGGTGCCATGTGCCTTAGATTTAAGGTACTTTCACCAGTCGATGGAACACTTAGAATGCTTTGGCTTGGCATCAGTCAAAATTTTGTGGTAGTATCCTGCCCAAATCTCGTTACGCATATCCTATGAAGAATTCAAAGGTCTTCTGACTGCTAAACCGTAGATCTCTGAGAGTTCTTTCATCAATTTGATTGTAAATTTTTAGTTTTTACTTCAGGAACTTTTTTCACAACAGTCGTTTTTCTCTTCACTACTGTTTTTGCTACGATTCTTATTTTTTTTTTTGGCGGTTCGGCGTTTTTCTTTTAAATTTTCTTCTTTTGTATGAGAGCTTTTCTTGCCTTATTAACGTGCTTAAAAATACGTTTTGCCACATGCAAAATACACTTCAACTTTTTAACAATGAAATCTTCACCGTATGGATGATAATAAAGCAGCATTTTAAAAGTCTTGGAGTCTTCGTAGCCGATATAAGAACCGTGCGCGCCGAACGCTCAGGAGAGCGGTCCGAGATAGTAACGTTCAGGCAGCAAAAAAATGTAGTTAGAGACATCGGATCTTTTTGAAATTTTAACACAATATTTCTACATATATATATATATACATTCGAAAAATGTAAAAAAAAATTTAATTTTTTAAAAATTGCAGAGTAGAACGTTCCCTTAATTGATGCCTACTCAACACATTAGTAATGTACGCCATGTCAGGCCTTGTACCGTTAACTATATGCAATAATGTTCCAACGACTTCTCTATAAGGAAAATGTTTTGTCAGTGGTACAGCAATAGTTTCTTCTCGATCTATCCTTTCTCGATTATGGACTTGATTCGAAACCATAGGTGTTCTCTTAGGATAGGGTTTTCCTTCTAAGAATTTTTCAAGCATTTTGTCAATAAGTTTTTCCTGATCTAGTCGCAAAATTTTATTTCTCCTATCTCTTCGAATTCTAATTCCTAAGTACTCTTTTGGTTTACCCAAGTCTTTCATTTCAAATTCAGCTTTGAGCTTTTCTCTAATTTCTAACATTTTGCCCGGATGATTACCTATCTCTATTATGTCATCAACATAAACAAGCAAATGTACAAAATCATTACCATCTCTCCAGGTGAACAAGCATGGATCAACTAAGTTTTTCTCAAGCCCTATCTTGAGTGCAACTTCAGTGAATTTTTCATTCCATTTCTTCGGACTTACTTTTAAGCCATACAACGATCTTTCAAGCTTGCAAACTTGATCCTTTGGCTCTTGACCTTTAGGAAGAAGTCCTTCCGGAATTTCCATATAGATTAATTGATCCAACTCACCATACAAGAAAGCAGTATTAACGTCCAATTGACACATATCAAGGTCGTAAGCATTTGCTATCGAAAATAACGCTCTGACCAATGACAATCGAGAAACAGGTGCATAGGTTTCTTTCAAATCGTACTCGTTTCGATCTTTAAAACCTCGTATAACGAGTCTCGCCTTGTAAAGCTTCTTTTTTTTCATCAACTTTGGTTTTGAACACCCACCTTGAGTCTATAATATTTGGCGGTGTTCTATTCTTACCAAATCCTGGTCTATCTACTATTGTCCAGACTTTACGTAAACCTATAGCTTTTAATTCAGCTGTAACTGCTTTTATCCAGTGTTCTTTCTCTGGACCATTAATAGCCTTTTTATAGATCTTTGGATCTTTGTTGATTTCAGCTAATAAAGTGTGACATTTTTCATCAATTTCTAATCTTGTGCTTTCATCAACTTTACATTCTAAAGAATTATCAAAAGCATAAACGAAATTCACTGATACATCATCCATAGGAAGAGGATCAACAATCGTCTCGGCATGTTCAGGTGCATTATCAGCTTGCTTTTTAGGACGACCTCTTTTTCTTTTAATTTGCGGAGGCGCTCCCTCCGAATCTAAGATCTCGATGTTGCCTTCTACGTTTTCTTTATCGAATTCGACTAGCCAGGTTTCTTTGTTTATAGCAACGTTTTCATCCTGCCAATTTTTAATACTCTTTACATTATAATATCTCCGTAAACAATTCTTTCATTAAACCTAGCATCCCTACTCTCATAAAATTTACCATCTTCTGGCTTTATAAATAAATAACCCGTTCGAGTATAACCTATCAAAATTACTCTTCTACCAACGTACCTAAACTTCGGTCCTGTTTTTCGTTGGACTTTAATATAGGCAAAACATCCGAACCGTGTTATTTGATTGATATCATATCTATAATTAGGTGCAAATCTATCTAATGGAGATTCCATATTATTACTAGCATGTGGTGTTCGATTATACGCGTACGCCGCTGCGCTTACTTCTAAATCCCACATATTTTCTGGTAATTTTGAATCATATATGTACGATCTAGTCTTATTTATTATGGTTTGATTATAACGTTCTGCCACTCCGTTATGTGCTGGTGTATCACGTCTAGCAGGCTCAAGTTCTGCTCCTAATTTGTTCAGAACTTCTTTTGTATAACCTCCCATATATTCGAGTCCCTGGTCACATCGTAAACGACAGACCTTTTCATCTCGACCAAGTATATTTCTGGCAGATTTGACAAAAGCCTCAATGCAAGATCCCTCTTCACTTTTATTTTTGATCGGATAAGACATTGCTAAACGAGAATAATCATCAATTACTACGACTATAAATCTGTAACCTTTAGGATAAGAAGCTGGGCTTATCGGTCCCATAATATCACTATGTATTGTTTCCAACGGTCTGGAAGCTCTCTGTCTAACAGTTTAAAATGGCAATCGTTTAATTTTGGCTATTTTACATACTTCACAACTATCCACGATTTCGTTAAATTCGGCAGATTTGATATCTTTCAAGTGAGGTTATTGTTTTTGCAAACTCCTGAGATAATTACTTGATGCACGTCCAAGTCGTACATGCCACAGCAAGGTTTTATTCATTTTTATGTTAGAATCTTTCAAGGACATAATTTCATCTTGTGATAATTTTATTTCAGGAATCTCATCAATATCATGAATAATTCTATCCGTAACTGAATTGAAGATATCAGGTCTATTTAACACAGCTATATTTTCAGCTGCAGAGCTTTCCTGTACCTTTTCTACAGAAGAGTTTGCAACATCAGAGATTAAACGTTTTTTTGTATTTTCATCAGTAATTAAAGAAGCCTCACTAGTTTTAGAAGAGTTTGTTTTTCCAATTTCCCCTTTTAATTCTGATTCTTTTTCAATCTGCTCAGCATTTTTAAGTCGATTAGAACTTCTCGTAAAATACTTATGTTCATGAGAATTTCCATTTTCACTTCAATCAAACTTTGATCTTCAGTGTTCACCTGGTCAATATCTACTGACCAACAGTTTTCGCTGTCATCTTCAAGTAAGAAACCATGCTTATCAGCAATGAGCCATGCAAATTGACTTCGAGTACCAACTTCTTGGAGCAAAGCTCTTGACAAATCAATTAATTGTCCCAATTTTGTTAAAAAAATACGTATTTAATTAATTTGGTGCACCTTTTAGTTTTGTTTAAACCAAGTTTTAAACAAATTTATGAATGGATTTCAACTTTTATTATTATTTTTCTGTATTTAAACAGCTATACATCTGAAATGTACCAGCTTTTAAAAATTTAAATACAGTGTTATACATCTAAAATGTAGCAATTTAGCTATACATCTAAAATGTATCAGCTTTCATTATTTTATTTTTTTTAATTTTTTTTTAATAATTTTTTTTATTAAAATTTTTTTTTATTTATTATTATTATTATTTTTTTTTAAACGCGCTATGCTCTCTCTTGTGTCGTTTGTTATAATTTTGATGTTTGTTTGAACTCTATCCTTTATCTCTCCTTTCTTTCTATCTTTCTTCCTCTCTTATTCTCCCTCGTGTGTAAACAAACAGCGTTTTCAAGTTTGAACACGTCTAAGCATTCGTATCCATAATGCCTGTTCATTGTTCTAGAAATATTTATATGACGCAATTTTCAATTTTTTTATTCTGTAAATGGCATTAAAAATTTACTACCACGAGATTCTCCTTTTTTTCTAAATTTAACTTTTTTTTCTTTTTTTTTTTTAATTTAACATTTTGACCAGAAACCCCCTTTTTTGTTTTTTTTTTTATTTATTTTTTTTTCTCAACAAAATTGTAACACGATTTTAGAGAGAAAAGAAAGATTTACGAGAGCTCAGAGTTTTGCACACCTTCTCTACTACTTTTTTAATATTTTTTTTTTACTATTATTTTTTTTTATTCAAACAAACTTTCGATAAAAACAATTATCGAATATGTACTTACTTTCACCTAGACTAGCTAGTAGCCCTTGACTACCCTGCTCTTTTGTCTCAACCATGTTCGCATTTTCATTGTTGTTGCCACCCTCCATTGTTCTTTGTGTATTCTTATCTCCTCGTGCCAAAGTTGTACAGATCTGTGAATTTCTGTAGGTATATTTTTTCTTTTTTTTCTCCTTCTTTTTTTTGGCTGCTTCTGATGTAGTTGAAGCTGAGATTTTAGCAGGAGTTTACTTCCTTTGCTTACACAATGGAACACTAGCGATAACTAGGTTAGATTTCTATCTTATAAAATTCACTTTTAAACTAATTAACTCTCGTTCACTTGCGCAGCGTAAGCGTGTCTAGGGCTCATAACCTGTTAAGGTATGGCTGATAAATAATGACACAGAGTTAAGATAGAAAAAGTAAGACGTGATATTTATTGTAAGATACAGTGAAAGAAGAATATACTGATCAACTAGCTCAGAGCTAGACCGGATACAGACAGAGAGAGAGCGTACCAGCGCCCTGTAAAAAGGGACTGTACGGCCCGTAGGAGAAGTAGGGGTAAAGAGTAGGGGAAGCAGAGTGACAAGACATAACGTCTTATATGTACGCTATTCTTAACATCTATTTTTAATTAAGTATCAATTTATTTAATAACACTTACCTGCCCATGTAGTTATAGAATTGTTAAGGAAAATACTTAAATTATATTTCAATTCTAATGTAATTTATATTAAGGGGCGCGGGTTAGGGTTTTCACTTTCGAAAAATCGAATTTTTTTTGTCTTATCTTATTGTTTAAAATTTCAAGAATATGTCCTTAAAATTTTAAGCCTATCTAAGCAATATTCTTGAAGTTATTGTCTTATTAATCTCCTGGCCTTCAACGCTATAACTCTAAAAGCTATGGGCGTTCGGGATAGCAGAGCAGCTGTCGAACAAATATACAGTTTATTCATTGCTATTGTCCTAACCCATTATCTAGTTTTAGAAATATTTTATTTAGTAAAGGCAGGTAACTAAAGCCATAAAGATATATTTTATATTTGTATGTATACTATACACTACAATATTTTAAAGCAAGAAACGAGTGTCAGTTTGTCGTTATACGTTCGACCGTGCGCTTGTCATTTTATAATTTTCTCAAAAAATTTTCTGTACAAAAATGCTAAGAGTATGCAAAGTTTCGAGAGAAGACCGACAAGGTGGAAGGACTTATTTGTCTAGATCAAGAAAAAGATTTAATCCGAATAAAATAATTAAAGATGAGGTTACCACAAAAAGTGCTTCATCGAAGAAAATCAAGCTAAATACCAGTGCAAGTGTACCAGAAAACGTTGAAAAGAGGCTGAAGACATCGACAATGCCGCAGGAAGTCCGCTGTATGGAGCTGGAATCGATGATTCTGTGTAAGTTGGAAAAAACAATTTTTTTCTTCACTTTTTTAGTTCATAAACTTTGAACGCGTTTTTCTCAAAACTACTTTTTCGAAGTCCGTGTTCACTGCCATTTAAAAACTACTTGACCGATTCATTTCAAACTTTGTACACATTTTCTATATATAAAATACCTCCCCCCAACGTTTAGTTAAAATTTTTTTTTTTACATTAACGGTGTTTCCCACCCACAAAAAGGCGGAATTTTTCGTAGAAAATAACAGTTCACACTTTAGATGGCCGCCAAAAATTTTTAAATAAAAAAAAATTATCAGAGAACGTTGGGGGAAAGATTTGATTTTAATTTGACTAAATTTTAATGGTTGTTCATTTTCAGATAATTTCCGGCAGAGTTATAGTGAACACCGCAAATTGTTTTTTTCCCAAGTTCTGGGGGAAGCTCTGTTACCGGCTTATGCTTTAACATTTCTGCATGATAGAGTTATACAACATTGTCAAAAGTATCCTCAATAATGTACAAAAGGTTCGAATAAAACAGCTCAATCTATACTTGAGAAAAAAAATCGCAAAAAAGTGTTTTTTTTACGCTGAAACCCTAACACCCCTCCCTTAATAACTTCTTAAAAATAAATAAAAGAAAAAGAAAGAAAGAAATTCTTAATTAATGTTTTTATTAAAAAATATCATTCCATACATTTATGATTGAGGAAATTAAAAAAAATTAAATAAAAATTACAAGAACTACAACTTATAATTTTAATTATCTTCTTCTTCTTCATCGTYGTCTTCCGATCGCTGTAGTATTTCAAAGTCCTCTTTTTTGTTGTCTTTAACGACATTTGTCTCCAGGTCTTTCATGATTTCGGGATCCAAGGTTCTGTCTTCATTGACATCGCTCTGATATGGTAAAGCATTGAAACAAGTTTGCCCATTACACTGGCTACAAGCTAAAGAGCACTGCAACCCCGATTTCCTGCATCTAAATCGCGAACAACAACCACTCTTGCAGTTGCAGAATATTGTGTTGAGCAATTCCTCTAGAGCAGGTGCAAAAATTGTCGTGATAGGTTCCAGGAATTTGTTACGCATTGTCCAACCCCATTCCTGGGGTTCCAAATCATGCCTTAACCAAGTTTGAACTTGATAATAAACACAATTGAAATGTTGGTGAGCTGCTACACTTGTTGGCGGAATATTTGATAACTGCACAGGTTTATTCAGTTTTGTAGACTTGACGTATTGTGCATAACGAAGATGATCGATACTGTCTACAGATTTTGGAGCATTATAGACTGCCAACAAGATTTGAATTCCATTCTCAAATAATCTTTGAACCAGACAGTTTTCTTCTTCAAATGCTGCTGGCAAGTTAATCCAAATTCGGCAGTTTCTCAAATGCTTTTAAAAACGTTTTTTTCCCTTTTTTAAAAAATGCAAAAGAGTTTATAGCTTGGTATCTCAAATTCCGAGATTCTTACCTAATTTGACTGGACTATACTGCGCTAACGCTCCCTTCCTTTCCGTCTTGGCCGCTCTCTCAGCGATTGTTGGTCTGCCTCTCCTGGTTTTCTTAACATCAATTCCCTCCGCCGTCATTATCGCCTCTTCCTACCAAGTCTACCCCTCTACTTTGCTCTATACGCCTCATTTTTCACAATCGTTGTTCTAACCTAAAACTCTACCAATTTTAGATTCCGCTTCTTTCCTTTGCACCCGCGTTTTTCTCTTCCACTTCACTTCCACTTACTCCTCGTTTATTCCTATTTCCACTATACCCACATTCACTATTTTCACCACACTATAATTGCCAAAATCCTTTTCCAAAATTTTACTCTTTACTCACGTCCTCTCTCGGACCACCCTATTTTTTGTGTAATAACCCTTTATGATTAGTTAATGTTGCACTTAGATACGTCCATGGATGCAACCACCGTCGAGATGTGACGTCATATGCGCATGCACACAAAGGCTTCCACGTGGGAGAAAATTCTACGTTCTGTGATATCACTTTTATTTACACTCGCTAAATTCTGTAAATTCTCTAAATTCTGAATAACAAATATAATTGCTATAGTGATATTAGGACTACATGAATCTTTTTAAAAAACTTTAATTTAAAAATAATAGAAAAATTAAATCATTAATTTTAAAAACAAAAGAATAATTTACAAAACATATATATATATATATATATATATATATATGTTTGGGATTTAATCTGCCCAATAAGAACTCGCGACAGTTGTCGCTCAGACCTTAGTGATCTGGAGAAGTTCCAGTACCTTAAGTCAGCGATGCAAGGAGAGGCTTACGAGATCATTGCTAACATAACTCCAGACAACTCATCATATGAATCGGCTTGGACACTGCTCATCTCACGGTTTGAGAACAAACGTTTAATAATCAAATCGCATCTAGAAAGGCTTCTCAACCTCAAACCGATGCAAAAGCGCCAAGCCACCTCGCTGACTAAAATGGTCAACATCATCAATGAGACTACTCAGGCACTCAGAACACTCACGGTGGAGAGCAATAATGATTGCCTCATGGTCACCCTTCTCACTGGACTGCTCGATCGTGACAATCGCGAGAGGTGGGAGACATCTCTTGCCTCCACCGATGAATTTCCGACACTCAGCCAGCTCACTGAATTTCTGGTCGCTCGTGCTCGCACATTGGAGACCATGGAAGCCTCATCCACGCCAGCTCAATCCAATGTGCAGAAGGGGGCTATGACTACTCGGGCAAGCTCGCATCAGGCATCTCAACAGCCTCCAGTCAGCTCAACAAGGTCGGTCACTCATCAGACTTCTCGTCCAGCTCAGTCCCGGACAGCATATCCGTGTGACTGTTGTGGGCAACATCACTACATCGCGATCTGCCCAAGAATGCGAGGCTACTCGGTCAACGAAAGGGTGAGGTTGATCAAAGACAGGAGCCTATGCTGCAATTGCCTAGGCAGGCATAATCTGAGGAAGTGCAACAGCCGACGGCATTGCAAGACATGCAACGACTTCCATCATACTTTGTTGCATGGTGCCGACCTCTCAACCATCTTCGAACCACCAAGAGATGGGGCTCAGACCGCTCAGGAGGTGCCGGATACACTCGCTCCCTCAGACAAGTCTTCTCAAGCATGAAACTCAGGGCAGCTCGTTGAGAGTTGCGATCATCCTGTGTCTAGCTCAGCCCATCTCAGTCATCTCACATTGCTGACCTCAGACAGCTCATCGATCGATCCAACGAATTCTCAGGCGACTTGGCAGAGACACTCAGTACGACCGACTGTATACTCAGTTCATGCGAGAGTATGAACAAGCTCAGCACATGCTCAAGCTCGATGATAGCTCAGTTGGTAGAAGGCCACATTACTATCTGACTCATCATGGGGTGCTCAAGCCAGACAGCTCCACCACGAAGCTCAGGGTTGTTTATAACGGTTCAAGTGCCAGCTCCACTGGTCACTCGCTCAATGACATCATGCACGCTGGTCCTAATCTGATGCTCAACATCTTCGACTTGCTCATTTGGATACGTCAACTCAAGTATCTCTTTGCGACTGACATCACAAAGATGTACCGGCAAATCAAGATACACCCAGATGACCAGGATCTTCAACGCATCGTGTGGGTGAATGAACAGCATGTTGAATCTCATTTTCAGCTCACCACAGTCACTTATGGAACTAAGTCAGCACCGTTCCTAGCTGTAAGAACGCTGCTTCAGCTCGCTGAAGATGAAGGCTCCCAGTATCCTCTTGCTGTGAAACCGATCACTCACGGGCGTTACGTTGATGACATCTTCGGAGGATCCGATACAGTGGAACAGCTCGTGGAGACTGCTCACCAACTCATACGGCTCTGCCATACGGGCGGATTCCCGCTGGCTAAGTGGCACTCTACTTCTCAGCAACTGTTGAAAGAGGTCTCGTCTGAGCTTGGCGAGACCTCAGGCATCTCATTCGATAACTGTGATACCAAAATCCTTGGTATTCGATGGTCACCTCAACAGGATGTGTTCGACTTCTCAACAATCTCGTCTTCTCCCTCCAAACGATTCTCAAAACGTCTCGTCCTCTCAGAAGTAGCACAAATATTTGATCCATTAGGTTTCGCCTCTCCAGTCATAATTAAAGCTAAGATCTTTCTTCAGGCTCTCTGGTTGCATAATCTCGACTGGGACGAACCACTCTCGGAACAGCTCATCTCACAATGGCTCAGCATCAGACAAGATCTCATTAGCCTGGCCAGGCTCTCTATCCCACGTTGGTTCAACACTCTCTCTAATTCAGCTGTTGAACTACATGGCTTCTCTGATGCATCGCAATTCGCAATCGCAGCTGTTGTGTATCTCGTTGTCAACTCGCCGTCCACTGGCGCCAAGGTCTCTCTAATTTTCTCAAGGACAAAGGTCTCAAGCGGCTAACCATCCCGAGGTTAGAACTCTCAGCAGCGCTGCTACTCTCCACGCTCATGAATCATTTGCGCTACTCTAAACATGAACATAACTAAGACAATTTTGTGGACGGACTCTCAAGTAACACTCACATGGATCAAGGCTCATCCATCAAGATGGAARGATTACGTACGCAACCGCGTAATCAAAATTCAAGAACTCTCAAGGAACGCTCATTGGAGGTATCAAGACAATCTCAGCTGCCAAGCTCGCACCCACTGTCTAGGCTCACCGCATTCATTGATGCCGGCGGTGTGCTCAGGGTGGGCGGTCGCCTCTCAAGGTCCGAACTCATGAACGAGGCCAAACATCCAGCAATTCTCCCTCGTAGCTCCAGGCTCTCAGAACTCGTCATCGCCCATGCTCACAAGAAAACGATGCATGGAGGCACTCAGTCAACTCTGGCA